GGCTTTTTCTCCCTCTCTCTGCCCCCAGTGCAATAGATTTATATATTTATGTTATATAAATTTTATATATATATATATATTATATCTATATATAAATCAAGTACAGTGGATTTTATTATATATAAAAAACCCAGGACTCTGTGGATTTATTGGGATTTTCACTTTAAACTCCAATTTCTTGGTAAATTTATGACCTTTTTTTTTTTTTCCCCATTTCATCTCTACAATTAATAATGAAAATAAGGTTTTAAAAAGGCCATGAAACTGAGGTTTGGAACTCAAATTCCAGGGGTGGGATGTAACAAACTGTGATTAGTCTTTATCTCAGGAATATGGAATTTGGAGTGTTTAATTCAAGATATCATTGGAACTGGAGTTTTTAAGGGCTAATAATGATGTAGCAACTTGGGAGATCTCAGTGGGTGCTGTGGGAATTCCCCCAAGGATCCCTGGAAAAGGATTTGGCTGTTTTGTTGGTTTTAGGATTCCCAGAGAGTTCCTTGAGGGAGCAGATTGTGTGGAATTCAGAGGTGGAATTAGTCTCAGCCTAAGTGGGGATTTAGGGATCCAACTTCCAGCTGCTCCCTACAAACACCCTGACCTCGTGTTCTGGGATTAATCCCTAAATTATCCCGTGATCCATCCGAGGAGATAACGAGCTGGGGAGTGATTAAATCCCTGTGACGTGATGGGCGTTCCCAAATTAATTGTGGGATGTCAAACTGTAACGAGGAATTGAGATGTTCCGGGGAATAATCCGACCCTCGGGATCAGGAAACCTCTGGAAGTGTGGACAGGAGCCACTCCAAGTGTGTTCTGTTTGATCTCCCATTCCAAAGGTTTTGGATTGTTGGGATAGAAGGAAGTGCCAGCTCTTTGTTTTCCTGCCGGGATTCCAGATCCCGCTGAGCAATCCCTGTGGGATTAACGTGTCATCCCAGAGCATCCCGTGCTCCCAGGAAAACGTGACCCATCCAGAAGTGCTGTGATTATTTCCCAGGACAAAAACTGTGGATTTGGGAGTGATTTTGGCTGGTTGTTCCACCAGAAGTTTGGCTCCCCTTGAATTTGTAAGGAAGCTAATTTTTCCAAGTTATTATTCCAAAGTAATATCCAAGAGATAGTGACAATTCCTGAAGAATATGGATCCATTTATGGCTGGGAGTTTCTGCTCTTTAATCCTTGGGAATTCTGCTCAAAAATGTCCCTGCCCATAGTAGGGGGTTGGATTAGAAGATCTTTAAGATCCCTTCCATCCCAAATCATTCCGTGATTCCATGGATATTCTGGAGTGTTCCCAACACACCTGGATGTTGGGATATCAGAGTGGAAGGGGAAGGAGCAGTTATTCAGTGTGGTCACTGTAGATACACATTAATGGGATGTGTTTTGGGATATCCTGGATTTTTCTCCTGGACCTGTTGGTCTGTGCAAGCTCCTTCTGAGGATGGAGTGGGAATGGGAATATTCCAGGACATTAAGGCAATAAATACTGGAAGTTTGTGCTGCTGGGAATGGGGTGGCCAATGCTGTTGACAGTCCTTTCCAAAGGAAATGTTGAGGTGGTTGGAAATGATTATGGAACAATGGATGAGTTGAATTCCCAAAGAGGTTTTTGCCTGGAAAATTTTCCCTCAGGCACCTTTTTTAGGAGCTGAGTGTTGGGTAAAGCCTTGGACGTTCTGGAGTGTTCCCAACACACCTGGATGTTGGGATATCAGAGTAGAAGGAGCAGTTATTCAGTGTGGTCACTGTAGATTAATGGGATGTGTTTTGGGATATCCTGGCTTTTCTCCAGGACCTGTTGGTCTGTGGGAAGCTCCTTCTGAGGATGGAGTGGGAATGGGAATATTCCATGACATTTAAGGCAATAAATATTGGAAGTTTGTGCTGCTGGGAATGGGGTGGCCAATGCTGTTGACAGTCCTTTCCAAAGGAAATGTTCAGGTGGTTGGAAGTGATTATGGAACAATGGATGAGTTGAATTCCCAAAGAGATTTTTGCCTGGAAAATTTGCCCTTGGGCACCTTTAGGAGCTGAGTGTTGGGTAAAGCCTTGGAGCATTCAGGGGACTCAAAACTCATCCACATCCATCCCCAGCTGTTCCCAAACCTATCTCTGATCTCCACCTGGAATGTGAGAGTACTGGAAGCAAACTATGGATGGGATTAACGTTCCTAAAGATTCCTGCTCTGTTTTTTATTCCTTTAGTTTCTCCCGGCTTTGAGAGCGTTGCCCTTGGAGAGGAGGCTCAGCCCGACGAGCTGATGAACGAGGACATCCGTATCCACAGCTGGCCTTGCTCCTACTACCTGGACACTGGGAAGCAATGGATCTCTGGGAGACTCTCCCTGACTCCCATTGGGATCAAATTCACAGCTGACAAAACCGGGGAGCTCTTGGTCGACTTCCACCTTTCCGGGATCAGCGAGATCAAGAAGGAATCTTCCAACCTCATCTTCAGCTCCCTCACCATCCTGGAGAAGAGCACCAAGCACTGGTTCAGCTCCCTGCAGCCCAACAGGAATGTGGTGTTCAACATCCTGGAGCACTTCTGGAGGGAGCAGCTGCTGGAGGGCCGAGGGGCGGGAGCGGAAGGAGCGGCCGCGCGGCCCGGGAAGGGCAAGGAACTGACGGGAATGTTGGCGGGATCCCAGAAACGCCTGGAGGACACGGCCAAGGTGCTGCACTACCAGGGGGAGCAGTTTGACAACATCATGAAAGGGCTCAACAAGATCGAGGGGGACATGGATGTGGCCGACAGGTAACGGGGTGGGAGCGTCCCGTGGGCTGGGAATTCCGGGATGAATCCGCAGGAGGGTGTTCCTGAGACCAGGAATTCCCAGGGCAGATCCACAGGAGGATGTTCCTCAGACCAGGAATTCCCGGGGCAGATCCACAGGAGGGTGTTCCTCAGACCGGGAATTCCCAAAGCAGATCCACAGAAGGGTGTTCCTTGGGCCTGGAATTCCTCGGGCAGATCTGCAGGAGGGAATTCCTGGGGCAGATCTGCAGGAGGGAATTCCTGGGGCAGATCTGCAGGAGGGAATTCCCGGGGCAGATCCACAGGAGGGTGTTCCTCGGGCCAGAAATTCCTGGGGCAGATCCACAGGAGGGTGTTCCTCGGGCCAGAAATTCCTGGGGCAGATCCACAGGAGGGTATTCTTCAGACCGGGAATTCCTGGGGCAGATCCACAGGAGGGTGTTCCTCAGACCAGGAATTCCCAAAGCAGATCCACAGAAGGGTGTTCCTCGGGCCTGGAATTCCTGGGGCAGATCCACAGGAGGGTGTTTCTCAGACCAGGAATTCCCGGGGCAGATCCACAGGAGGGTGTTCCTTGGGCCTGGAATTCCTGGGGCAGATCCACACCAGAAATTCCTGAGGCAGATCCACAGGAGGGTGTTCCTCAGACCAGGAATTCCTGGGGCAGATCCACAGGAGGGTGTTCCTCAGACCAGGAATTCCCGGGGCAGATCCACAGGAGGGTGTTCCTTGGGCCTGGAATTCCTGGGGCAGATCCACACCAGAAATTCCTGGGGCAGATCCACAGGAGGGTGTTCCTCAGACCAGGAATTCCTGAGGCAGATCCACAGGAGGGTGTTCCTCAGACCAGGAATTCCTGGGGCAGATCCACAGGATTTTATATATGTCTCCTCTTTGCTTCAAAATCTTTCCCAACCCTTATGAATTCCCACTCCAAGTGACAGAAATAATGGAGATCTCCAGAATATCAGCACCCTATAAATTATTAGTGAATGGGTAACTAATTAGGGGAAATAAGGGAATTAATGTCCCCACTGGCATTCAGGTGTTCATTAATACGACATTCCCACTTTTATTGGATGGCCTGGAATATTCCTCAATCGAAATCCTGGCATTTTGCTGCCTTTTAGACAAGTTGAAGGAAGAGATTTGGAGCCCGTTGGAGATGTTGTTTAACTGGAGCTGCCCCAAAACTCGAGGGAATGGTAAATATTTGGTGTTAATCAGAACATTCTGGCTTTCCTGTTGGCTGATGAACATTCCAAGGGGAATTCTTTGATGTGTTCTGTGTAAAATTCCGGTCCAAAATGGACAGAAAGGTCGAGAGCAGCGGTGGAATATTTAAGGGATCTCTGGCTTGGGAGTGCCTTTGGAGCAGCTCCGACACCTGCAGGAAGAAACAAAACACAATAAAAGTTCAACCTGGTTGTTCTTGGAAGCAGCAGCTGGTTTGAGATGGATCGGCTGGAAAGGGAAGTGCTGCTTTCCCGACCATTTTTGGGGATGTTCTCCGGGGCCTTTCATGGAAAGCCAAAAAACTTGGGAGCTTCGGCGAGAGCTTGGAAAGTTCTGGGGCAACAAACAAAGAGCAGGAAAAGCGATGCCGGCTCATTGTTTTTGGAAGGGAGCTTTGCTTTGGGGTTAGGAGGAGCTGCCAGGGGTTGTTTGTCCTCCCGAAGCTGAAAAGTTGGAGGCAGGGACTTAAAAATGGGAAAATAAGGGAAAGCAGGGAGCAAATGTGCAGATGACACTAAACTGGGGGGGAGTGTGGATCAGCTGGAGGGCAGGAGGGCTCTGCAGAGGGACCTGGATAGGTTGGAGAGTTGGGCTGATTCCAAGGGGATGAGGTTCAAGCAGGCCAAGGGCCGGGTCCTGCACTTTGGCCACAACAACCCCCGGCAGCT